CTCCTTGTGGTTCGACCCCGGTCTTGCCGGGTTATTTTTTACTTCGACACTCCTGCACTTGGGAGAAGACATCAATCTTTTAGTCGTGTCAACCCCGGTCTTGCCAAGTTATTTATTACTTCGACACTCCTGCACTTGGGAGAAGACATCAATCTTTTAGTCGTGTCAGTTCACATTTTCTATTTTTTAAATACTTATACTTTAATTCTCAAAGTATTTATCATACAGAAACAAGAACAAGTACTCTTGTTCTTAAAATTTAAAATTCATTCTCTTATTTATTGTAATCTCTTACTAAAAGTCATTAACTTTATCAACTGAGGGTTCTTAAATCCCACCAAAAGGGATTGTTTTACAGGTGTTATGCCTTCTATGACCAATAATTTACTTGTGAGCTCTACATAATAGATTTCTAGCATATATGTGTGATTACCTATTTTCCAAACACTCAAAACCTTCTTCCTAAGCATATTTAATTTTAGAACATCATCAATTAGCATTGTCTAGTGAGAACAAATCAAAAGGTCATCAATTGTTCTTCTAAAGCTGATTTTTAACATTTTTAATCAATATCAATGGCAAACAATCAAAATACCTTTGGGATAGGATATGTCACAGACATTGCTGCAGTTGTTGGCATATCAACCCCATCAAAGTTTCAATAATTCATCAACGAAGTGCAAGCCCTTACTCAAGTCGGGTTGGCAACTTTAAGGCAACATTAGACCTAATCATCCAAGCAAGTCTTGACACATGATGTACCACTATTGGTCCTAACTTTTTAACCACAAGTTTTCCCCTTTACCATAAGACAACTGTATTATTTAGAAGAGTTTGGACGAAATGACATGAAGAGTTTTCCACCGTGACAATCTCCTAGTCCCTTTAAAGGTTTTTCTTGTTGATGTGAAGCTTTTCTCATAAGTGGTCACTTTAAACATGATCCCTCTAGCCACCAAAGGATAGAGTTGGCTATCAATTCTATTATTTCATGCTAGAATTCTTCTAATCCCTAAAGCCTATTAGATAAGAATCTAAGAGAGATTTGGTAGGTAGATACATACAAGATGAGGTCTATTGTCCTCATGAGAAAAATGGATCACCTTTTTCTAGACAAGTCTTACATGCCCTCACCTCTAAGGAGTGTATCTCCATGAAAACGATTATGGACAACTACAATGGTTTGATAAATTTATGATAACATGTCCAAAACATACATAGTAACCTGAATTTAATCATCCAAGATGGTGATATTAAATGCAAGATCCTCCCTACAACTTTCAAGGGTCAGCAGGAGTCTGGTATAACAACCTGAAGCTTGGATCTATCCTGGGTTTTAATGACCTCTATGTTAAACTTATGTCATTATTTAGAACTAGTATACACGCTAAAAGAAGCTTTATAGAACTCTTTAACGTTACTTAATTAGGAGGGAAATCCATTAGGGTATATTTAAAAAGGTTAAAAATGCTTAGGGTGGAGGAATTGATTGAGTTATAGCCTCAAAGGCTTTCATAAATGGAGTGAGGAAATGTTCTTTATAGAACAACTCGTATACCATAGCAAACAGAAGCCTATTAAAGGTGAAGTAGATCATGTAGAATCATATATGATTAGAAAAACCAATATGTTAAAAAATAGGCCTCAATATTTCTATTAGAATATGCAGGATAAAACACCT